CATCTGAATAGGTGTTGGAAAACTTGAACCTTTCATAGTGAGTACTACTTGGATCTACTTTGTGGGTAGTGAACTAGAGTTTTGAACTAACCACTTTTTATAGTAGAATAAAAAACAAGAAGTATCACACATATCATATCTAAGCATGGTTCATTTCTTACCGTTGTGTTCTTTTCGGTGGTGAACAATCCTTTCTTCATGAGACTTTTAGGGAGCTTAGCCATATCAGCTCCCAAAGATGCGACCTCACATCCATCTCACATAGGTAATGCTAATCTGGAACAATCCATACTATTCCACTATAAAAGCTATCAACATTATTAAGAATAAAGAATTCATCCCTATATCATCAACGGAAAACACAAAATAAATATCATTGGAGTGATCATACCTTGGTGTTGGTGGTTCTTTGAGTCTTCCCCAACTAGTTGTCCTATTGAACCTAGAACATGGGATCTCCAATGTTGCTAGGTTAGGTTTCCGCTAGGTGGTGATTCATTGTGTTGGCTTTAAGCCCATTCCCCTCGATGTGAAGAGAACTTGCTCTCTACTAAGGCCTTCTGTCAATGGATCAACTATATTTTCCTTTGACTTTATGTGACTAATGGAAATGATTCCATTCTTCAGCAAGTCTCTTATTGTAATATGTCTGCACCGAATGTGTCTCGACTTGCCATTGTTTATATGACTTTGTGCTCTAGTAAGAGCAGCCATACTATCACAATGTATGGCAGTGGCAGTAACAGGTTGAGGCCACATAGGAATACCCTCTAGGAAGCTTTTAAGCCATTAAGCTTCTTCAACAGCTTTGTCTAAAGCAACAAACTTTGCTTCCATTGTAGAACGAGTATTCACAGTTTGCTTAGATGAATTCCAAGAGATAGTAGCTCCACCAAGAGTGAACACATATCCACTTGTGGATTTTGCCTCTGAAGTATTGGAAATCCAATTTGCATCACAATACCCTTCAAGAACAGGAGGATATTTCGTGTAATGCAGTCCATAATTAATTGCATGCTTTAAATATCTAATCACTCTCACTAATGCATACCAATGATCTTTTCCAGGATTGTGGGAGTAACGACTCAATCTACTTACACTATAAGCCAAGTCTGGTCTAGTACAATTCATAATATACATTAAGCTACCAAGAACTTGAGTATATTCTAACTGAGCTACACTATCACCTTTATTCTTCTTAAGAAGATTTGAAGGATCAAAAGGGGTGACTACCGGCTTGTCATCATAGTGTCCAAACTTCATAAGTACACTTTCAATATAATGGGACTGAGTTAGAGTATAACCATCTGATCTTCTTTGAACTCTTACACCAAGGATCACATCTACTACTCCCAAGTCCTTCATGGAAAAGAGGAGTGTAGCATTTTCTTGGTTTGATTGATCACATCCAAATTAGTACCCATTATAAGCATATCATCCAGATACAAGCATATGATGACACAAGCATTCTTGTATTGTTTGACATAAACACATATATCACATTCATTAATTCTAAATCCATTAGAGAGTAATGTGTTGTCAAACTTCTCATGCCATTGCTTTGGAGCCTATTTTAGTCCATAAAGTGATCTAACTAACTTACAAACTTTGTTTTCTTGACCCTTAACCACAAACCCTTCAGGTTGGTTCATATATATCTCTTCATCTAGTTCACCATACAAGAAGGCAGTTTTCACATCCATTTGGCGTATTTCCAAATTATGAATGGCTATAATTGCTACTAATGTGCGAATTGATGTAATTCTTGTAACAGGTGAATAGGTGTCAAAGAAGTCTTGACCCTCTTTTTGACGATACCCTTTAGCTACTAAACGAGCTTTGTAATTCTCAATGGTACCATCAGGTCTAAACTTCTTCTTGAATATCCATTTGTGCCCAATTGGTTTTGCCCAGGTGGCAAATCTACAATTTCCAAGTGTTATTCTGCACAATGGAATCAATCTCACTTTTGATTGCCTCTTTCCAAAAGGGAGCTTCAGACGAATCCATAGCATCCTTGTAGGATTGTGGTTCTTATTCGCTACATAGGTCATGTAATCAGGTCCAAAATCTTTGGCTATTTTGTTCCGTTTGCTTCTTCTGGGTTCTAAGTTCTCTTCTTGAACCTTAGAAGAGCTCTCTTCATTTGATTGTAAACTTTTGTCTGGAATGGTATCGTTTAGTCCATCATCTAGAGGTCTTTTCCTAGAGTAGATAACCTCTTTCCCTTTATCCTTAAAAGGAAAAATATTTTCAAAGTTCAGCCTCTGCTGATTCCATGATGGTTTGGTTATGGATATCATCAACATGTGATTTAACACAAGAAACCTATAGGCTGCACTATTCATGGCAGGGCCAAGATAGATGCAATCTATGGTTTTTGGTCCAAGTTTAGTCTCTTAGGAAGAGGTACTTGTACCTTCGCAAGGCAACCCACACTTTCATCCTTTTATAAGAGGGTAACTCCTTTCCACATATGATAGGGTGATTTATCACTCTTTTTATGAGGAATTCTATTAAGTATTGAATTTGCTGCAAGACATGATTCTCCCCACAAATTATATGGTGCTCCAGAAGTAATTAACATTGAATTAATCATGTTTTTCAATGTTCTATTCTTTCTTTCTGCCACTCCATTTTGTTGAGGAGTATATGAGAAGTTGTTTGATGTATAATACCATTTAAAGAACAAAATTTAGCAAAGTCTTTGGATTCATATTCCCCTCCTCGATCAGACTTAGAATTTTGATCTTTTTGTCAAGTTGATTTTCAACTTCAGCCTTGTAATTCTTAAAATAATTCAAGGCTTCATCTTGGTATTTAACAAATAAATATAACAGTACTTGCTGTAATCATCAATAAAGGATATATAATAATTCTTCCTCCTCTTGTAGGTGTTGCTCTAAAATTACATAAATCATAGTGGATTAACCAGTATTTCATTAGATTTTTCAACTGATTTATGAGGATGTTGTGAAAATTTTGATTCTACACAAACCTCACATTTTATGTTTTTATCTAATGAATATTTTGGTAACATGCCAAGTTTTGCCATCATTTGAATAGAACAAAAATTGACATGTCCCAAACGAGAATGCCACAAAATTGAAGGATCATGCATATACATAGAAGAGGGCTAGTAGTGCCCATTATTGCATTAACGTTAACATTAGTTACATCATTGTTTGGTGTTTCAACACCATAGTACAAAGGTAAGACACCAACTTTGAAGAGACCCTCACTAAGGTATCCCTTTCCAACATACACCCCATCCTTGGTGAGAACAAAGTTATCAGACTCAAATACAAGTTTGAAACCTTTGTTACTAAGAATAGGACCAGAAATCAAATTCTTATTAATTTCAGGAACATGCAAAACATCACTTAAAATGAGTTCTTTTTTCAGAAGTCAGTTGCAACTTCACTTTTCCCTTTCCTTCAACTTTTGCAGTAGAGCCATTCCCCATAAACATTGGTTCAGAATCCGAGACTTTCTAGTATGTAGAAAACATGGTTCAGGAGTTGCAAATGTGCCTTGTGGATCTAGTATCAATCCACCAATCCACACAATTGCTAACCATGTTGGTTTGAATCACAGCAACAAACTGATTTGGTGATTCAACCATGTTGGCTTGACCAGAATTTCCTCCACCAGAATTGCCACCATTGTCTCCATTGTTCCCTCCATTATTTCCTCCATTGTTTCCTCCTTGACCCCTCCAAAATCTGCAATCTTTGGCCTTGTGTCCAATTTTGCCACAAACATAACATGGACCAGAATTCTTCTTGAATTCTTCTTGTTAGGGCCATGATTTTTTGCCTTCTTTGGAAGAGTTTTTGGAGCCTTGCTTCCCTTTATTGTTGTTGTGCTTTGTCCTTGAAGTACTTGCTTCTCCAACAAAGTTTGCACTTGGTTCCAAGGAATTTGCATCTGCCTTCTCATTCAATCTGTTATCTTCTTCCACACGAATTCTCAACACAATTTTCTCAAAACTCATCATCAGTTAAGTGTTTAAGATATAGTTTGAAATTCTTCCAAGAAGGAGGAAGTTTTTCAATGATTGAACCAACAAGAAAGTTAGAGTTTATACCCATACCTTCAACTTCAAGATCATGTGCAATGACTTGAATTTCCTCCACTTGTTTAAGGACAGATTTGGTATCCACCATCTTGAAAATTCATGAATTTTCCAATC